TGTGCCCGAGGAACCCTGACCCAGCCCCGGGCGGTTGTGCCCGAGGAACCCTGGCCCAGCCCCGGGCGGTTGTGCCCGAGGCGCCGCCGCCTCGAGCCTCCCGGGCTGGTCTCGGGTCCCCCGTTCCTTCCCCTTCTTCACCCTTCCCTCTCCTTCTCGCCCCCAAACTCTGTCTCGAGATCTTAACCTCCCGGGGTCTGTCTCACACGGGAGAGCGCACTTTCCCGGCGCTGCGGAGTTCCTCCGTGGAAGGGCAAGTGTTTTCACCCAGCGGTTTTATTTCTGAGCCGGGAACGTGGTGTTACGGGGGCGCGTTAGGCTCTGACGGTTGCATTTGGTAAAAGAAGCGGGGAAGGCGTTCTCCTAAAAGTCTTTTAACTTTTAGAAGTTTATTTTCAGGATGTTTGTGAAAGAAAGGAGCCATGAACTGACGAGGGAAGGATGTGGGTGGTGAGATGAGGGAAAATTTCGTCTTCGGGTGCTTGCTCATGGATAGCTAATGGCCTGCGTATCTGATGTTCAGGATTATAAGGTATTTTGGGGTAGGGGTTTCCCCCGCAAAAAAAAAAAAAAAATCTTCCATTTTTTTGTGTGTGTTTCGGGATGAGATTTGTCATTACTACTATTTGCTATTTCTTTAGCCTTAGCTCTTTCCATGAAATATGACAACTCCCTTCCAAGCCCTGGGCAGCTAGTGGGGCATTGCTGAATACTGCTGTGGAGCTCAGAACAAAAAGAGCCTCTCTGGTTTCCAGCAGGAGGACTTCTGGGATGGATTTAAGCTGATTCGAGGTGTTTTGGACAACCCTAATAAGAGAGGTGCTAAACCAGTGCTTCTGGTAAAGGACTGATGACTGCAGGGGCTGTGGAGATTAGTTACAATTGGTAAATTCACTTAAAACGAAGTGAAAAGCCCACTGCACTACTAACACAGCCTTGAGCAGACTTCAACAATGCACAGCCCTGAAACGACTGCTATGTGCTCTGAAGTAAATTCTATTTTTAAAGCTTTCCCTTGAATAAAATGGGAAAATTTTCTAGAACCTGGACTTCTGTGTACTTTAACTGTAGTGCTCTGTGCTGTGAACCAATACTGATGTGAATGTTTTGAAACTCGGCAGATCTACAGATGCACGGATGTCCCAAGAGTGATAGTCAGTGTCGTGAAAACGGGTAGGGACAGAAAAATAGTGTCAGGAGTCACTTAGTATTTTATTTTAATGTGCACTGTTTAGGGAGTGTGCTCGGACTTGGAACCAAAGCTCGCTTGCTTACATAACTAAAATTCCAGTACCAGTATAATACCCGTACAGGTTGCGTATTTTGTAAATGGAACACACATATTTGAAAAAAAAAATTAAAATAAAATAAAAACTGATCAGACGAGAAGTCTGATAACAACATTTCCCCCCCCTCAGTTGTCAGTAGATTGGACAAGAACCACTGGCACAGTTCATTCTGTGCGATGATGTGAGGAGAAAGCCCAGGCATTAGGTGGACACAGCGCCTGCAAGTGTCTGGTTTTGTTTCCATGGTAATTTGAGAATGTACAGTAAAAGTTAATAACCCTTCCTTAACTAGATCTTTTTGGGTTGCTTTTGAAAGCAAAACAGTGCTTGTGCAGGATTTGCAGGGAGCCCGACTTTTGAAACCAGCAGAAAGCCCAGTGCTTCCACTTATCTTTCATAAGTTCCTTTTTATCTTTGAACATGCAAACCACATTACTGTTTTATTTGAATCTGATTCAATGTGTTTTTGTTTATGCTCTAGTTTGGCTTCCCTTTTATGAGTGCAATTCACTTTGGGGTAATATTGATATACTTTTAAATCAGTAATACTTTGAATAACAGAATTTGAACTTTTTCTTCTGTCAGCCTTTTCTGTCACCACAGCAGAGTAAATACGGCCTTGCCATTGCACTGTCAAGGATTTCTGCAGTATAACTTGCAGTTTTAAAGGTACTTATATGGCAAACAAGGATAGCTATGGATAAGCATTTTGAAAGAGTTATTAGTGCAATATTTCAGAGTTAAAGCCAGTATATGTACTTCATTTTGGAGAGGCAGAATGTGGATATTCATTAACACGTGTGCGTATATTGTGAAGTTGTGGTCATTTATTACAAAATAGCAGGGGTAGAATGCTAAGAACCTCAAGGTTGGTCTTGGCCCTGATCCATTGCAGCAGTTCTAAGTTTCTGGAGATCAGTCTTAGTGAAAAGAGAAAAGTAACTCTTTTCAAACAGAGAATGTAGATTTTCAGCTGAAAGGGGTTAAAAGGGGAAAAAATGCACTGAGAAGTAAGAGGAAGGTACTTGAATTCACCAAGGAGGCAAATGTTTGAAGGAAAAAGCATAATACAAGTGTTGTAACTTCACGGGTACTGATAACACTTTTTCTAGCATTTTTCTTTCATCATTTTGTATCAGATTTTCGGCAGCTTGTTGTTCAACCAGGACCCCCAGTTCATTCTCTGCAGAGCTGCTTTCCAGCACGTCAGCCCCCAACCTCTGCTGGTGTGTGGGATTATTCTTCCCGAGGTGCAGGACCTTTTTGCCTTCGTTGAATTTCAGACAGTTCTGCCCATCAAGAACGTCATGGTGTGAGACGTGAGAAAAACTCTGCTCTTAGCAAAGATATAATTGGCTTATTTATACAGATCAGGCGAGTGCCTTCACTTTGGGCATTGAAAATCTGTTTCCAAAATTGGGATGATTTAATCCTGAGTTTAAATGATGCAAAGATCGGAGTTTTGACACAAAAGATGTCTGTGTGTGCTTTTCGGCCAGTAGCTATACACATGTGATCCGGTAGAGGGAGGCAAACACATACACTTGGGGTAACGTGCCACGATTTATCAGATTTAGCACGTTCATCTCCGTGTATTTAAGTGCTGATATTTGAAGTGCTTGTGAAAGTGTTAATTTTGGAGAAACAAGTCTTTTACTCATCTAGCCATCAAAGGCTGTAGTGACAGTATTCCAGCCACCTCTTTTCTACAGTATATAAAAGCTTTTTGAAAGACTTTTCTTTCGAGAGAAGCTAAGAATAGTGAATTAAAGTCATGAAGTCTTAGGGCAGCTAAAATATTCTCATGTTGGTTGCAGTAGTAGTTATTCTGCAGCGTTAGTGACAATAAGTACTGATACTCAGAATGTTGTATGTGCATGAATTCATGTTTTCACACAAGTTGCTTTACGTGTATGTAAAAGCCACAAAAGCTACAGCTCTTCTGCTTTTACAGTGAATTTTTATGTCAATTAAAAAAAACCCACAAATTTTCATCCCTGAGATACCATCAAAAGTTATTGCAAAAAGTTGGATTTAACATCTAATGTGTTATTTGAAATATATACTAGTAGATCACTTTTTTTTACACTCAGTTGAGGCCTTCCAGCATGGATATTCTACCATTTCTTCTCTTTAGTTTAGCTTTTTAGGTTAGTTGTCTTTTTCCTGCCTTTTTAGTTGATTTAATTATGTTGGAGTTCCCAGATGGTCCAATATATTTATTTCAGTTCCCAAATTCACAGCCTTTATTGCCTGTGATTGAGATTCTCCAGCAAAAATTGCTGTATTTTCTCCTTTCTAGGGGAAAAGCTGCTAAAAATCTCTACAGGCACTAGTGTGCTGTACTTCCAAAGCATGGGATTGCAGGGAGTGAGCTGTGACCTTCCTGCTCCCCCTGTTTGTTTCTGCTCCTTTTGCCTGTTTTCTCTCACATTTGCGATATTTGTCTTGCTGTTTCTTAATGATGAGTAGAAGAGTGTTTTTTAACTATTGTACTTATGTTTTTTTGACTGTTGTACTGCATCTAATTTGTCACTTGTTTCTGTTTGAAAAGTTGTTGGTGCTGTTCAACCCAAACCCGATTTAGACATGTGACTACTACCACTATGTATTAATATAGATTGGAATAATTTTAATAAGTGTATTAGGTTCACATGGCAAGGTTTTGGTAGTGGGGTGCTACAGGGCTGGCTTCTGTGAGAAGCTGCTGGAAGAAGCTGCTAGAAGCTCCTCCTGTTCCTAATGGAGCCAATACCAGCTGGCTCCAAGGTGGATGTGCTGCTGGCCAAGGCTGAGCCAAACGGTGCCCATTGGTGGTGGCTCCACACTAGCATGTCTAAGAAGGGGTAAAGACTGCTGTGCAACAGCATCTGGGAGAGAGGAGTGAGAACGTGTGAGAGGGACAGCCCTGCAGACACCCAGGTCAGGGCAGAAGGAGGAGAGGGAGGCGTTCCAGGTGCTGGAGCTGAGGTTCCCCTGCAGCCCGTGGTGCAGCCCGTGGTGAGGCAGCTGTGCCCCTGCAGCCCACAGAGATCCATGGGGAGCAAAGATCCACCTGCAGCCTGTGGAGGAGCCCCATACTGGAGCAGGTGGATGCACCTGAAGGAGGCTGTGACCCTCTGGGAAGCCCACACTGGAGCAGGCTCCTGGCAGACAGAGGAACCCACACTGGAGCAGGTTTGCTGGCAGGACTTGTGACCCCATGGGGGACCCACGCTGGAGCAGCCTGTGCCTGAAGGACTGCACCCCGTGGAACGGACCCAGTTTGGAGAAGTTTGCAAAGGACTGTCTCCTGTGGGTGCCACTGGAGCAGAGGAAGGGTGTGAGGAGGAAGGAACAGCAGTGACAATGTGTGATGAACTGACCACAACCCACATTCTCTGTCCCCTTTTGCTGCTGTGGGAGAGGAAGTAGAGAAAATTGTTGGTAAACTTAAGCCTGGGAAGAAAGGAGGCATGGGGAGAAGGTGTTCTAAGATTTGTTTTTATTTCACATTATCTTACTCAGATTTAGAATTATTTCCCCCAAGTCAAGTCTGTTCTACCTCTGACAGTAATTTGTAAGTTGTTTCTTGCTGCCCTTATATCAATCTATGAGCCTTTTATCATATTTTCTCTCCACTGTCCAGCTGAGGAAGGAAGTGATAGAGCAGTTTTGGTGGCTACCTCTTGTCCACCCAGGGCTAACCTACCACGATAGTCTGTATTATTTGCTAATAATACAATCTAACTATTTTTACTAAGTTCATACTGGTTTCAGTTTATAATCTGTAGGATTTATTAGTGATATGGATTTCAAAGGAATACCACTCCCTTCCCTGATGCATCTCTGCCCTGCTAGATGTGCCACATTACAATAATACAAACCAGTATGAAGTGGGCTATTTATAAAGTCTCAAAGCACTGTGCCAGCAAACTTAAAATTAACAGAGAGCAACTAATTAACAATTATACAACTTGAAAGAAGTGCTAATTAAAAAGTTTTTAAGAGATGAATTTTCAATTGAAACACAAAATTAGCCGGAGACTAAGTGCCTGAAATAGAAATTTGGACTGATTAGCAGAAATGCAAAAAGCGCTAGCTGTGTAAGAAATGAATTTTTAATTTTCTCTTCAGGTAACTCTATGCCAGTCTTTAGGATATGAAACAAATCTGCTGGTTTGGCTAGAAAGTGTAAATCAAACTATTTTTCAGTGCTGGTGTTTCAGTCTTGTACGTGTTTACAGTGTGTTGAGTCACAGAAGTTGGAGATTTTGGCAGAGGAACCATGACTCTCTGCCTCTCTGATGATTTCTGTGCTACTGAGTTCAAAACACCTGCCTTATTCCAAGAACACAATATGAGGTAAGAAGCAAGAAGTTTTCTGGAAAACAGGAGTTGCCCAAAGGCATTCAAGTCTGGTAACTGGGGGAACTTTGTATGTTTTGAGGGTTTTCTCCTCTTTGCCATTGCATCCTGTTCTTCTGAGGAGTGTTGGGAATGGGAATCTGGTGGCTTCAGGGGTGGTTTAGATACTACGTTTTTACAAGACAAAGTGCTGCAGGTTCTACAAATGAAATAAAAGCAGCATTAAAAACTGATCTACCTGCAGGCTCTCTGAAAAGTTCTTTTGAAATTCTTTGGATTTATGCATTTTAGCTTCTCTGTGAGTATGTGTAGGATGTTGGAGAAGGAATTAAGTTATTTTGATAGAGCAGAGTAACGTCTGCATATTAATTGAGCAGGTAAGTACTTTCATTAGTCATATTTGCATCTGAGTTAATGATGGGTGCTTTTACTTTAAACATAAATCTTTGTCAAACCCTGTTTGTTGCCACCAAATATAGCTTTAGGATGACCTCGTTTCTGAAATGTAATTTTTTATAGTCTTTCTCTTTTCTGGAGACTATATTGTTTCAGTTGTGTACTTGGCAATTTAAAGGAAGTAATGAGACCCCCTGTGGAATGGGAAAGCTGAGTTCCACTGAGCATTAGACTAGAGATCTGGGTTCAGTGCTACCAAAATGAGTCATCACAGCAGGTAAGGTTGCATAAAAAAGGCACAGTTCACCACATAAAAAAAATAACGAGATCCCAATCCATTCCAGCTTTGAAATAATAGAACTTATGAATAATCCTGAAGGCAGTCTCATGCCTTGTTCCTGGCTGTTCATATGCCATACTCCCAGCACCTTTTGAAATTCCTATGGCAGAACCATTTAATGTTGCCTCAATAAGCACTACGAGGGTTGACAGTATCAAAATTTGCTTAACAGTATTCACATGGGTTGCATATTTTGTTTTTTCCTGTTTTGAATTGAGAGAGATTGAAAGAGAATCTACATGTCACCCAAATGTTTTATTTCTGTGGTGGGAGTTGACATTGTCATAAATCTGTGTGTTTTCAGGTATCAGGTGTGATCTATGGTCCTCAAAGCTTATTTGGGATATTTTCTGCCTCTAAAATTTGGATGGATTTGACTGTGGATATGCATATGCTCATAACTTAATTCAAATAGGCATTAACAAAAAAAGCCTTTGCATGAATCTGTAAGATTTGGGTTTTTTTAGTTTACACTATAATTAGGGACTGAGCACTGTGCTTAAAACTCACTATATCTTTAAGAGTCAGCATTGTGTAATATATTTTCAGAACTGTGTAAATGGTAGTGGCATATAAAGTGAGTTTTTTTCATACTTGCCAATGGTTACTGTAAAAGATAGGTTATCCTGGTTATCCTCAGGATTAGAATTGCCAAAGTTTGGAGATGTAGATAGTTTCTAATTATAGGAGCATTGGAATGTGTGTGGTCTCTCACTAATGAGTCTCTTTAGAGCTGCAGCCTGTCCTATCAGAGAATGTGAAATCATATCAGCAAGTGCAATCTATGCTACTTACATTAACTAAGAATAATGGAGACTGGCTCATGCCAAACATAAAAGCACGGTGATTGCAGTGGAACTGTATTATAATGGTACAATGAGTTTCATTAAGAGTCATTTTCACCATACAGCTGATTCAGGGCAGAAATGTCATTGAAGTACTTCAGTGCAATATGCCTTTGCTCACCCTTATGAGTGCCATGCATTGATGAACAGAAATGATGATAAAAGCAGCATTTTCTTTGCAGCCACTTAAGGTTGCTTTCTCAAAGTGTACAAACAAGATATGTATTTCATAAAGAGGACTTGCAACCGGTGTATGTTGACTGATTATTTAACTTTCCTCTGTTATTTTAAAAGCTTAAATCACGTGAATCTTAAAACAGATTTACAGTAGGGCCATTATTTTCTTAGGAAAAATCATGACCTTATTGTTTAGCCATGTCTGAGGCTTTTGGGATGGTTATGGTCAGTTGTTGAATTTCTTTTTTTTTTTTTTCTTTTTTTTTAAGATCCATCAGTTGAAGTATTTGGAAGACTTATGGACTATATAGATAGTATATCATGGCTTAAATGGATTGTGTTACAGTTCCATCTTCAGCTGCTGTGACCTCATTTCTTCTGCTGGAAGATAACTTTACAGCTAGCTGGTTGCTGCAGCAGTGCATTTGGCAGTTCTTTCTTTATATTTCTTCTGTAGTTTATCATGAAAAACCAAATGATCTGGCAGAGAGGTTAACCCTATGTATAAAGAATCTGGAGGAGAAAAGAGAATACACTAAATCAGTAACAAAATAACTTTTTATTTTTAAAGGAGTGGCCATCCATCATCATGTCAAGCCAATTCTATTTAATAAACATAAGAGTTTGAAAAAAATCACCAAGTACTCCTGCCTGTAAGAGCAGATATAAGATCACCTTAATCATTAGCTCCCTGAGAACCACCTACATGCTTGGTTGAAGCTCCTGTCTCTCAACAGTGAGGTTATAATCCATACATTTAGAGTTAGTGTGTTTCAGACAGTAACTGCCTCCAGGCACACATTCAAAAATACAGATTATCTGAAGTGAGGAGTAGTTCTCTCAGAAGTACTAATTCTGATGGATAACCTGTTGTCATGTAAAATGGTCACTTTTGACAAACAAGCCTGGTTTTTGTTTATATGATGATGATGTGGATCATGGTGGATATAAAGAATTGGAGTAAAGCTCTGAAAATCAAGGATTTAAAATTCTCCTGACATGGGAGAGAGATGACAAAAAGTAGGACTGGGCTTTTTAGCACACGACTGGTTTAGAAATGAAGCCTAGGAGGACTCTTGCAGTTATATACATAGAAATGATTTTTCTATTATGTAGCTGAAATTATTAAAATAATTGAAAACAGTTTAAAGCTTCTAAAGGGAAATGCTCAGGGATTTTTTTCCCCCTCCTTGTTTTAACTTTGTTTAAAATATATTTTCCCTGAACCATTATTATTTCTTGGACTTTTTACTGTTTAGTCAGGTCTGTTAGTGTTCATTTTCTGCTGCCTCTTGGAATATTGTTTTCCTATCACTTCAAGTAACTCATTTGAACAATAGTTCAATGCCTTAATACAATGAAAGGTGAGCTTTCCAATAATTCTGGGGCACCTCTGCTGTTTTCTTATTTTATGGACTAAATTGTAGCAAAAATGCAAAAAGGTCATCTAATTTCAGCACGTTTTGGGGTAGAGGGAGGGAAAATACAGTGAAGACTTGCTGGCTATTGCCATGTGGTCACAAAAATGTTAAAGCAGACAACTGTCTGTGAATGTGACCAAGAGGAAGAAATAAGAGAGGGGAGGGCACAAGGAAGAGGACCTTGTGAATAGGTGTGTTGTAGTAAGGTACCCCTCCAGAGTGTTGCTTCTAAAAATTAGGTATTGTGAAATCTGATTTATTCCTAAAGAAAATGGGAAGTCTGGTCACGAGGGTTTTCTGGAGACCCAAGGATAAATCCTGGAGAGAGAACTGTAGCTGTTCCTTATGGAACCTTCTCCCACCTTGCAGCAGGTGGTGGAACAATGGGCTCCTTCCTGAGCAGGGCTGAAAGACATTGCTTCATAGCTGGGAAAAGAAGGCTGGAAATTTTAAAAAGTAGGTAGAATCAAACATGTGGCAGCTGCATCAGCAGTATTGCACTAGCAGTGGGTTATTCTGTGCCTTGCTGTTCATTTGAAATGCTCTGCTGGACAGTCATCAATGTGCCAACACCTGCAGCACATTTTGCTCCTTGGCTCTTGACAAAGTTCAAAATATGAATACTAAACCACAAGCTAAACAAATCCAAGCTAACAAGGCTGTGGATAAATGTGATTTTAAAGCCTTGGCTAAGGACTTTCTTTTTTTCCCTTTATAGCCCACAAGAAAGTTGTCTAAAAATAATTTTTGTCCCTATTATAGCAAAATTAGCTTCATCCTTGGAAGGCTGTCTGGATTGTCATCCCCCTGATGCTGTGGCAATGATAATACTTCCTTTGGTGCCAATGCCATTGCTGTGGATGACGTTAGTTAAAGTATCATCAAAGCTTGATCATTTACAATTAATTGCTATATATGAAGTAGTTAATGGATGGCATCCTGTCATTGATTTGTTGAAATTACAGGACTCGTATCTATAAAATACCTTGCACTCAGAGCAGATATTCCAACTTTAAACCAGATGTATGAGCCTTTTAGTAAATAAATGCCTCTTGTGTTAAGCTGCATCCATCCCACTGACATTTTTGAAGCTGCGTAATGTGGCAAATCATATCCAACATAAACAGATGAAATGCATCATAAATGAAGCAGGACGCATCTGGGAAATGGTGCATTGAAAGTAAATGTATGATTTCAGCAGATTGGGTGCTTCTAATTAGCCACGAATAGTTCATTTTCATGGGGGAGTATATATCCACGTAATTAAATGTGTAGTGCTTTCTTGATAGTGAATGGTCGGCGCTCTTTCCTTTTATTGCCAGCAGGTGTCTCTCTAGATTGTCGCAAAGCGCTGCAGTTGGAAGCTTGGCTCTGATCGATGGCCCGTGCGGAGGGCGGGCAGCTGGGAAGTGCCTCATTCTGTGGCTGGTTCCAAACGAACTGGGATTCTTCGCTGTGCAGCAGTGGGGCTTTGCACACAGACAGCTAGAAATATATCAGCTTAATGGTATCCGAAAATGAATATGCACAAATGTCATCCCAATGCGTGTCAGTTCCATAAAATATAATAATGGAATGATGCGCTCCAGGAAAGACAATTTGAGAAATGCCTCGTTTGATTTTTTTTTTTTTCTGGCAAAGATTTCTACAGAAAAGTGTGGGGGCTCAGACCAAGCTTGACTAATGTATCAGAAAGAAAATCTTGTACCTTGAGCTTAGAAAAACCATCTTTTGTATAATCACAACATTATTCAAGTGCCATTTTAGATCCTATTCCCCAATTAATATTCTGAACTGCAATAAGAAAGTGATCCAAGTAGGGGTGGCAAATAGATGGTATAACCTTTTATAATTTTGACCTTTCCCAATACAGAACTAATTTTTTGGATGAGAAGGTGGAATTTGAGTCATTTCAGTGGACAGAATGGGAAAGCCTTACGGGGGGTGGCTGTAACGAACACACTGATGGAATTTTTGGGAGAGAAAACTGAATGTTGCCGAGATGCTGAAAAGATGAAAGCAAGGCTTAAATTGTCTTTTATCAGTAGAGGAACAGGTCAAAGATGTCATGTGGTTGATATTCCAGCTGCAGTGTCAGGTGGCAGAAATTTTGACATGCTGAAAAGGATGAAGAGAAAGAGGGAAAAGTCACAGTGGAAGCTCACACGTTATGGAATAGAGTTTGGCAAGTAAATGTGGAAATTAATTAATTAGTATATGTTGCAGAAGAAGTGGTCTGAAAATAAAGATTAGAACAGACAAGCGCTCACTGGGGACTTTCTCCTTATTAGCAGAGCCTGGTGCTTCAGCCTGCTTCTGAGATAAAGGTTCACAAGAAGGATAAGAAACTTTGGAAATAGAAGGGGTTAGTGAATAGTGAAAACAGAGTAATGGAAAGGTTCCAATTTTACCGTGTCAAATGTAAATGGGGGTGGTGTGTCCAAGCAAGCATGCCCAGCATTAGCAGGCTCTTAAAAATACATGTCACTGAAATGCAAATGCATTTTACACACAGCTCACTCAATAATGATCGAGATGGGGGTGCGGTGAGGGCAGAGATTAACTTGTCTAACAGTCGAGCCAAGTAATTTTCCCCAGTGAATACTCTTCAGGTGCAACCTTAGTGAAGTGCTAGAGTGGAGGATCTCATCTGCTACCTGACATCAATGTTTAGCAGGATTTTTTATTTTAGAATACACACTTATGGAAAATCAGTTAGAAATGAAGTCTGATAGAATCCCTAAAGAAACCTGCTGTGTATTTTTAAAGTGTTTTTTAATACAAGCCCTTTAGGGAACTGTGACTCATCCCCAAAAGGATAGATACTTCAGAAATGCACTGCTAGAAATAAATTCTTTTATTGTGTTTTGTATTACTTTTCAAGTTCTTTTAGTTTCTTTTATGAAAAGCTATTTCTCTTTCACTATGAGAGTGTTTCTGAGGGAAATATGTGTCTGATATCAACAGATTCCACAGAAGGGTTGTTTCAGGGATATGTATAGTTTCTGAGGGCACAACTTCCATTATAGGGAAAATGAGAGTTCTCCTTTTTTAATGAACCACACAATGTAAGAACAAAGAGGCCTTTAATAAGAAGTGGGAAGAGAGTCTTATTTCCAAGCCTGTACACAGCATTTTTATGAGTGTAGAATTCTAGATACACAGAAGGAAGAAATATCCTGGATGGCAAATTACCTTTTAAATGAATGTCCTTTTTTTTTAGCTGGCTTTGAAAATGTCAGTCAAGGAGTTTTTCTTGCAAATCTAACCTTTAAGCTGCTGCCCTGCTGCATCCTGTTGCTCTGCATATACCTGGAAACAGTGGATCGTCTCTCTCTAAACACAAATTAATTTGTTGGAAGCTCTGTTTCTGCACAACTGGTCAGACCTTATTCCACTTGTGTATATATATGTATATATAGTGAATATTGCATCAAATAATGACTGTGGGGTTTGCTGATAGGAAAGGATAAATAATTGCTGATAAATAATTTGGTTAAATTGCTGATCATGACATTAACATTGATTTACTGAATTAGCATGCTTTACTGGGAAGTGCTGCAGGGAGAAACTTCTTGCTTTAACCATATACTATGGAAATACAAGTCATTTGGCTTTAAGTGTTAATCTGTCTCTGGAATTAGGGCAAGAGAATAAGGACACTTTAGTCGTAATATCCCTGTTTTGTCAACCTGGTCCCCATCTCATACTGTTTTTTACTGAATAGAAGTAATGTAGATCAGCACATGTTCATTACTCCTCTGGATTTTAGCACATGGGAAGTGATGTCTGGGTTTTAAAAGATGGGTGGTCAATTAATTTATGACTGTCAACAGCACCGCAGTTTGCAGAGATGGAGAAGATATTAATCAAATAATGCTCAGAATCTCTGCTGGTCGTGTCTAATTGGCAAAAGGATTTATTTTTGC